ACCCCTTCACGACAACGGCCTTTCCAAGTGCCGGCAAACTCCCCCACCCACCCACCCCACCCCTACCCAATCGACTCACCTGACACAAGTTCAGGTCAAGGTCAGCTAAGTCTGACGTCATCAATATCTCCAGGAGGTGACCGGCCTTCCTGCACTGTTGACCACTGACCACGCCATCACGTGGTGCATCTACTGGCCACGTTATCCCGAGGCCCACCTGCTAACCGTGCCATTCACGTGGTATATCTACTGATCACGCCGTCACGTGACACACCAACTGACAACGTCGTCACGTGGTGTGCACCCACTTCTTTAATCAGAACGCGTAGACAGTAACCCCTAACTGTCTATAAGACGACCCTCCACCTCTGTGTCTGTTTGTTTATGTGTGCGCGAGTGAGTGTGTCTATTTATGTGTGTGGGTGAGTGTGTGTGTGTGCGCGAGTGTGTCTGTAAGATTCCTCTGTGAGGAGACACAGTTCAGAGTAAACGCTCGGCTCACATAGGGACAGATATGAAGAGAACCCCACCTGCTTGCTCCCCGTACCACAGGACCCCACACGCATAAACACACACACATATACACACACAAACAACATACACTCACACACACACTCCCTCACTCCCCCCCACCCACACTCCCATCCCCATCTCCCTCAACCAAACTTCCCTCTTCCCACCAATCCTCCTCAATGTCAGATGTGAAACAACCCCCTCCCCCCAGCCCTTCCTGCCCTGACAACGAACAGTGTGTAGACATGGAGGAAGATTCCAGCGTCCCTAGCAACCACCAGTTCTTCCTGCAAGTCCCCGGCACAGACCACACCTCATCCGGCTACTGTCTGGAAATATCAGAGGTCAGCAGAAGGCGGCGGAGGTCACTGGGGTCAGAAGTCAGCAGCCCTGTGACGTGTGAGCTGACAGGCGGAGGACTCCCCTGGTGTCCGGACGAGGAGCTATGCGGGGAGGAGAAAAAGAGAAAGACCGGCCCTAGCCCCGCCCCCAGCTCGCCCGGCGTCGAGTCGCTGCCGTCCCCCTACGCCCTCTCGCTCTCCCCCTGGGACCTGCCCTGGGCACACTTCTTGGACAGCCGCAAGACGGCGCTGGGCTCTCCGTCCGGGTGCCCGATTCAGGAGCCACAGGCCCTGTGCCACACCCTGAGGGTGGAGCTAGACCCGGCCACCACGCCCACTAGCTGTGTGACGTCACCAAGCCACTCCTACCCCGCCTCGCCTAGCTCCGTGTCCTCGCTCGCCTTAACCCCTGACCCCGCGACCCCCTCGACCCCCCTGACCCCTGTGACTCCCCAGCTATCCCCCGCCATAGACAAGATGGCAGATACAGAAGAGCTCCTCTACTACCAACAACCACGCCCACCTTCCCTCTCCGGGCTCACTTTGCCCGACCCAGCAGACAAGCCAAGGGTAAGACACGCTACTTACTGTACCAGTTAGACACACATGTTTCACCATTAAACATATTTCTTATTGTGTTGCAAGTGCCGTAAAACTCTTCTTTTTTTGCAAGTGGTTTACGGCGTTCGTAACTGCATATGAGCGCATAGGACTCCTTAAACATTTTTAGGAGGTAGGAAATTTTGAATTTTGCCCCGGATTCGAACCCAGGACCTTTGAATGAGAGGCAAACACCTTAACCTCAAGGCCACGAGAGCCCCTTCCCGCCCGTGAAACTCTTACTAACCTTAACCATCAGTAATTTATTTATAGAGGCACCAGCCATCCATGTCCAGGTGCTGTTTTAGCCAACTCTAACTTTAAAAAAAGAAAAGACACATCTTAACAGAATGTCCGAACTTTGGAAAGACTCGAAGGAAGTATTTTAAATGTACAAAATTACCAGATTTGTTCTCCGTCGTTGATCATAACTACACCAGATAGGCGGGTGGAGATCTACTTTGCCCGTCAGGGATAGACTCAAAGTGTTGCTTTTAAAAGGGATGTTATAGGGCACTTTTAAACGATCCATGGTAACGTAAGTGTAATTAATTCTTTTACTTACCCCATCTCCTCCATCCCTCCTTCCCCTAAATCCCCCCCCCCCCAATCCCCTCCATTCCCCTATCCCCTCCATCACCTCAACCTCTCCCAGAATCAATCCACCCATCCAACCCCATCCCTCCATATTAAATCCATCCATACATACATACTAATCTAATGTACCCCTCCTCCCCCCTCCCCCCAGGTTCTGACGAGAGCTACCACAGTGACGCCCACCGGGGCCCCAACGACAGAAGTGACAGGAGTGGCGCACATTCCAGGAGCCCGAGTCTGATGAAGAGAGGACAGAACAGTTCCCGTAAGTTAAACGCTTCTTTCTTTCTTTTTTTCTTTTTGTCTGTGTGTGTGTCTGTGTATTTGTATGTATGTTTGTCTTGCTTCCTTCCAACAGCAACAAAAACAACAAAAAGACACAGAGTCCCCACATCACAGTGCAGTTAACCCTATCCGTACGCCCTGGGGTCATTTTGTACCCCGGGGTTGTATTCTTCACATTT